GTGAGATGGACGCAGAGCGCGGCATGGCTGCAGCGTGCAGGGGCAGGATGAGATCAGAGCAGGCACGTAGCTCGGCGGGATGGGATGGATGCAGAGCAGGACATGCACCCAGCTCACAGGGACAGGATGGGATGAGATGGGATGGACACAGAGCACGGCATGGCTGCAGCGTGCAGGGGCAGGATGAGATCAGGGCAGGCACATAGCTCGGCGGGATGGGATGGATGCGGAGCAGGCCGTGCACGTGGCTCGGCACCGGGGACAGGTTGGGATTGCCCCGTGTCCCCGCTTGCCGCTCTGCCTTCTCCGTGTGCGCAGGTGATCTACCGAGTGCTGGACCCGGCCATCCCCATCCCGGACCCCTACAGCCCTGACATCCAGAGTGAGTGGCACCGGCGCGGGGGCTCTAGTCTGGCGGCCCTATTTTGGGTGCAGCTATTCTGGGTGCTCTTCCCCAGCTCCGAGCTCCTCCGAGGGGACTGGAGATGGATCCAGCCTGCAGCTGCCCCATGTCCCGCTGTGCCCCAGCCCCCGGGAGCCAGAGGGGCCGCACAGGGGGCTGCAGCCCTTGGGAACAGCTGGGGGTTGAGCTGCGGCCCGGCAAGCGCAGGACACGGAGAGGGAAGGGCCTGCGGGAGCGTCGGGATGGCGGCGCCAGAGCTGGGCCGTGCCAGAGCTGGGCCCGGCCCCAGCGCCGAGCAGGAAGGGATGGGCGGTGGGAAAGGCTGCAGCGGAACCGGGGATGAGATGGAGGGGGTTAACCAGCCGGGCTAAATTTAGGCTGGGAGCAGGAGGAGGGGAGGAATCTGCAGGACTGGCGTGCTGGGAAGCTGCATCCCGGGGGAGCCGTCCTGTCGTGCCGGGGCACCGGAGCAGCGCGAGGTCGCGGACGTTGTACACAGCCCCAGAGCCCCCAAACCTGCCCTTGCCCGGGATGCAAAACCCGTGCCAGACGGACAAGGCAGTGCGCAGCCCTGCAGCGCGCACCCACGCGCAGCCCCAGAGCCGGGTGTGCAACAGCGGCGGCGTCTCCCCGTCCCAGACCTGCTGCGCGTCACCAACCTGCGGGTGAACCTCACCAAGCTGCACACGCTGGGCGACAACCTGCTGGACTCGCGGCGGGAGATCCGCGAGAAGTACTACTACGCGCTCTACGAGCTGGTGCTGC